GGGAAAAAATAAGAACCAAGATGCATTATGTAAAGGTACAATTCCCAATGAGAAATGTAATTGTGTTTTATACCTAAAATGTACCAATAAAAGAATTAAAAAACAAAAAGAAAGTTATATGTAACAGGTCATAATTGTAAGAAACTGTTCAATGAGATTATCTATTTTATGCTAACTTAATTAAAATAAATTGCTTATGTTTTCAACTTAAAAGGAAGACAAGTATATTATGATATCCTACTTGTCAGTTAAAAATGATATAAAGTTGTTATGGCACATTCTATTACTCAGGGAATCATTTAATATAAAGCAAATACAACTCTTAAAGCATCACACGCCAGGAAACATTACAAGTTTATCCTGAAACATAAGCAAATCATCTTGTTCATTATAAGTGCTAAATCACAGGTGGTACGGTTTAGATCCAAATGTCTTCCTACAGCAGTGATGACAATGGTATGCCTGCTGTGGCATGCATGTCATAGGTTCGTCACCACTGTGCTAGAGCTGCAGGAACTCATCAGTGAGGTTTGGTTGGAAGAGGTGGGTCACTGTGGGCATGACCTAGTAGGGTTACCTCCCGTCCCAGCTCTCCCTTGACTCTCTGCTTCCTGTCCACCATGCCATGAGCAACACTCTTGCCCCAAGCCCCTCTGCCATACTGCCCTGCCTTGGAGCCAGCCCATATGGACTGAAACATGGACCAAAATAAACCTCTCCTCCTTTAAGTTCCAGGTGCCAGGTATTGCATCTCAGGGCAAGACAGTGACTCAGACAGCGCCCTAACACAGAGGAGCTCCCCTGCCAAGCGAGGGGAAACAGGATCACTAGAGTCCCATAAGGGGCACAATCAACCAATGAATGGACAAAAAGAGGAGAAAAGAAGGAAAATGGGTTGTATAGTAAAAATGAGTCAATATAATTCAATACTAAAAGTTCTTGCTAACTTATCACCTACAGTAACTTTACTGCTACCACATTTATTTTGAAACCTAAACACTGTCATTTGGTGAACAGCTGGCTTCCCACCCTAGAGAGATATGAGACTCTCTTCTCCCAGTTTATATTCTGGCACACGTATTTATTAAGTGCCTAATTTGAGTCAGGCCAGAAAGGTGAAGAATGAGAATCTGTGGACAGCAGAGGGGAAGAAAGTAGCTATGAAATCTACAGTGAAGTTACGGGGAAACGGCCACAGTGGGAACTAACGATAGAAAACACGTTCACCAGGGACAAGAAGAAGGTGGGGAAGACTCCACAAAGGGGGTGACATTTCAGCTGCTGAGCAGAATTTCACAGGGGAAAAAGGCAAAAGAAAAAGAAGTAACATGAATAAAGGTAAGGAGACCAAGAAATGTCAGGACGTTTTAAAGAGCGTGTGTGTATATAGTGCAGAATCATTACAGATGGGCTGAGAGGGCTGTAGGGAGACAGGGGACAATGAAAGCAGACTGACTGTCCCCAGATGTCACTTGAGCATTCAGATGTTCTTCTGTATGCCACACAGATTTCAGATGCTTCTGAAGTCAAAAGCAAACTCCAAACAGGGATCTTTATATACTGGTGTTTTCTATGTTCATTTTCTGGTTGTTGTTGCTTTTTGTTTTCAATTGGGGATCGAACTCGGGACCTTGCGCTTGCAGGGCCGGCGGTGGAACCACTGAGCTAAATCCCTGGCCACTTGGTTGATTTTTTTAAACTAAAGTGTCCCCAAAAGAGTGCCAGCCACACGGGCACACAGCAGTTGCTCAATAAACATGTGTGGAATGAATTGTGAGAAAGTGAGCTAAGAGACATGGTAACAACAGGTTCTCAGTGAACAAAGTGCAGTGGAAGAAAGGAATTTCCTAATTTTCATTATTTTGATTTTTTTAAAAGAAATCTTAATATGCAAGAAAAAATCCAGAAGGGAATTACTTAAAACTAATGTTAAGCCAGGTATAGTGGTACAGATCTAGAATCCCAGCTACTTAGGAGGCTGAAGCAGGAGGATCACAAGTTCATGGACAACTGTCGCAAAATAAAATTTTTATAAAGGGCTGAGGATGTAGCTCAGTGGTAGAGAGCCCCTGGGTTCGATACAAGTACAGAAAGGAAGAAAAAGCCACGTTAAAGAATTCATAGCAAATTGTGATAATGTTCATAAAGTGAGAAAAGGCTGTGTTTCTTTATAAACAATGAGTGGCAAATATGAAAAAAATATTACTTCTAATTGAATCTCTGAAAATGTACATGCTTGTATGTGTTGAGGGGGCAGAAAGGGGAGGGGCCATCTTTGGGGAAAGTGCATGTTGATGATATAATGTGTATTTCACACTTACATTTTTCTGTGATTGCTGTCCTCACATCTGAACTGGAAGCTTTGTTTTTCAAATTCTGCGCCAGCGTAAAAACAAAATCGAGCTGAGGATGGCGTTGCTCTAAGTCAGCCTTTGTAATCTGTTAAGAGAACCGATTATTAAGGTAGGCTGATCCAACCTCCCATAAGAGTACTAACCTAGCAGAGCAGGTTGGCTGATGGCAAAGCTGTGTTTGTTGTTTTCCTGCTCTAAGGAATGGTGAGGCATCAGCAATGTGGCAGAGAAAGAGCACATGTTTTGGAGTCAGAGGTCCTGGGTTCAAATCTCAGCTCTTCCACTAATCACAGGGATCGCGAAGCCAGTTGCTTTTGCTTTGTGTTTTAGTTTTCACAAAAAGAAATAAGGAAATACTAACAGCTTAGCTGTAGCAAGGTTGACGAGATTACATTAAGGAAACCTCTCTAAAATGCTCTGAAAAGACAGCAGTCATTGCTGCTAAGGCACTGCGTACCTGCTCTACATCAGATATGAATGCAATGCTGTCATTACCCCTGGGGACGGAAGTGAGAAGCTAGAAAGCTCTAACTGAAGAGACTGCAAAGCAAGTCATCTTGGGCCCGAAGAACTGTTATTCTCGGTGCACTCTGTCTCTCAGTACTGATAAATGTGAGAAAAAAGTTAGCACGTTTTAATTGTAAAACTGATAAAACAGTCATAAAACTAGAAAACACATTTATCCTAAGTACAAATAGCGTGGCAAAAGATTTTCCCAGCCCTTGAGGTCACTGGTTTTGTAGACTTCAGTCACTGCTACAGTGACAAGCACTATTTCTAAGTAGATTTCTCACAGATTTCAATCCTGGACCCAGGAGCACATTTCCATGGATGCTGACCACTTTCTCCTCAATGGCATAGGGACCTCCTGACATGGCAAACCCAGAACCAGATCACTCCGACCCTCACTGGCACTCTGTTTCTTCTCTTTCTTACTTCTGCTCATTGCAATGGCAGCATCTCAGCCCCTCAGAAGGGGCTCTTTTGATTTAAGCAGCTCCAGTCCACCCTCGCCTTCTCACTAAAGCACTGTTATCACCAGGTCCCAGCGGCAACTCAGGAAAGAAAAAGCAGTGGAGAAAAGACGTTGTCCGGCTGCACACATGCTGGAAGTCTGCGGGGCTAGGGCACCTGCGTGTTCCACCACAGAGACGAGGGGAACTGACTTTCCTGCCTCTCCTCCCACTGGATTTCTGTACTGCACAAATGTGGACCCCAATCTTCATCACCCCCAACCCCGGCCTCATGTCTGTGTTCACTTTGTTCCCTCTACGTGCAATGGCATCTGTTTCATCTGTGACGTCAAAACCGTACGACCTGTCCTCCATCGCTGTCAGGGGTATGATGGAAGAATAGGCGGAATGTTTAAATTTTAAACTTTTATTGTAATAAATGGCACATTACCATGAACCCCCTCAGAATCCTCCCTCTCGCTATAAACACACTTATCCTGTTGTTCTTGCCACTCTCTGACGCAGCTCTGCAAGTCCTCTTCCATGACTGTCTTTCCTTGCACAGTCCTGGCTGCCTCAAGGTCCTGAATCAACTCAAAATGCTTACCTATCAAGGTTATTTTTACTCTGGGGAAAAGCAACAGGTCACCCTGTGGCAGATCCAGCGCACAGGGTGGACATGGACACACTGCAACATTTTCACAACCCTTTCTTTTCCATTGGATGGCACTGGCAGCAGCACTCACCATATTGTTGATCACACCTCCCAAAGACACTCACAATAGAGGACTTCCAGAACTGCTTCAGAAAGTAGCAAGAATGATGGGATAAGTGTGTTGAAGCAAGAGGGAGATTTCTGAGGGGGGATTCATGGCAATGTCTTTTACTGTAGTGAACTTGTTAAATTGAATCATTCCCTGTAATTCTGATCATCCTTGTACAAGCAAGCCTCCTCCTCACCCTGCTTCCTCTAACAGGTGGCCTGCACCCACCCTGCAGCTTTTATTAGACTCTGCCCTGCCACAGCAACCTGGATACAGTCATGCACTCAGTGCCTCTGCCTCTTAGAAATGTGGGCTTATTAGCAATGTGAGACTAAAAACAGCACTAACTTCACAAGACTGCTAAAGACAAAAATTAGATAATACATGTAAAAAATGTTTAAGAAAATGCCCCACATACATTAAGCACTTAATAAAAGTCAGCAGTAACTGTTACTAATATTCTATTGCATATCCCATTTATATGTGGAATATTCTTTTCAGTATCCCTGTACAATACAAAGCCCGGAACCTAGCACACACTAAATATGGAAACAGAACTTTACAAATTAGTATTGGATGGCATATGTACAATACAAAAGTCACAGTTGGGAGAATCTCATTTCTAAAATCAGAAAAGAAACAAGCTCATTATGAAATGTAAGTTGAAACAGAGCTTGGGAAATTATTCCCCATCACACTGGGCAGTAAATGTTACACTAGCTCGCATTTCTTTCAACCTGCCTAACTTTTAATGGTATCAGTTTTAGGTTTTAAAAATACATCAAGGGGCTGAGGATTTAGCTCGGTTTTGCTACCTGCTGAGCAACCGCAAGGACCCGAGTTCAATCTCCGGTACCAAAAAATAAATAAAAATAAATAAAAAATAAAAATACATCAAGTCTTTAGCTTAAGTCAATAAACTTGATCTCACAAATGAAAGAGGAGCTTTATTCCAGGTAGTCCTGGAGAGCTGACAGATAAAGAATTTTTCAAACCTTACTCTCTGAGTTTAGGGTAAACAAAAAGATCCAAGTAGATGTTGTCTAACTTTTGTGTCATGCTATTGCTCTGACAAGCTTTACGCTATGCACCTACTTTCATTCGGGAAACTGTCTTATTGATCTCTTCCACATCACCAACTGTGACAATGTTAGACTTCAACATCTGGTCAATCAATACCAGCCAGTCGGCGAGTTCTGTTATTGTTTGATCCAGATCAGCAGGAACTGACATTTCAGAGCTGCGAGGAGACTGAACAGGAACATCAAACGCAGATGAGACTAGCACCACCTTTTGGACACTAGGATGAGCTGAAATAAAAATGTGGCAATGTGAGGATAAATCAATAGGATATTTTGAAAATAAATCAACAGGATATTTTTTATTAAAGTGCTATAACAGTGATATGTGTATATGTGTACTTAAGTAAAATTGAGTTTAAATAAAAATTCTAAGATGTTTTTATTTTACTATAGTCAAATAGCTGTGGCATGGCCAGTAATCTCCATGTATCTTTGGTAGCTGTAAGGCCAACTGAACAGGAAATCTCACAAAATTCTAGGCCACCAAGAACTCGAACATGATCAACAATGATAGTGAATAAAAATAAAGTAAAAGTACACCAGCCATGAAACAATCAAGAATATTCTTTTATTTGGTCAAGAGGTTTTGCCTTAATTATAAAGCCAATGTATTCATAACTTTCCATTCTTTTTCAATTAACTTTATGACCTAACCATATTTCATTCTTAACAAGCTGCCAATGTGAACATCAGTGTAATAATTCATACATATATTCACTTGTACTTAACCCATTTCCTTCCACTAGATATTTGGATTGCTCCTAAAATTTTCTCTTTAAATAAAAATTGAAGGAATATATTTCTATGTATTTGCCACATTTCCAGCCACCACCTTAGTAGAGTCTGTCTCCCTCCCTCCTCCATTGATCTCTCTCTCTGCTTCCTGCTTCCATGTCATGAGCTCTTTCTCCTCCGCCAGGCCCCTCTGCCATGCCATCCCACCTTGGAACCAGTTGACTATGGACTGAAACCTTCACAAACTGTGAATCCAAAAAACTTTTCCTTCCTTAAGTTATGGGTGTCAGGTATTGTGTCTCAGAGACTGGAAAGTAATTAAGACAGTGGCAGAGAAGCCTGACCTTGGCAGTGACTGCATTATGGATCAATGCAGGAAAATTTACTGTTCAATAAAGGCTGCTGGCAAAGTGATGGCTTATGGCTGGAGTAGGAAATGATGGGACAGATTTAGACCTCCCATGCATCATGGAAAAATTAATTCTTGACAGATTAAGGGCCTAAACATGAAAAACAAAATTGTTACCTAAAAATATAAAAGAATATTTCTATTGCTGCAGGACCCTGAACACATATAAAAGGAAGCTACTAATAAACTATTTTTAAGACTTCTGCACAGAGCACCATAAACAGAGATTGTCAAAGTATTTGCTATGGACATGGAAGACAAAGAATTTTTTTAAAACACCCAAAAAGTCATCAGACAATCCACAAAAGAGGAAACAAGAAAGGTGATGAACATACACATTTTAAAAAGTTCAACTTTGCTGACAGTGGAGAAAATACAAATGAAAATGAAATAATGTACACATGTAGAGCACAGGTTGACAAACCAACGGGCTGGAAGCTTTGCTTTCCTAGCATCTCTTCTCAGGGACCTGGGTGCCCAAGCCATCACCACCACCACCATCACCACCACCATCTCCATCACCATCATCTCCATCATCAAAAGCTATCTGTCCTGTCATGCTCATTCACTCCTAAGTACAAAGCAGTGCTTCAATCAAAACTGTATGACACGCGATACCCCAACAGACCAAACACTGAAGCAGATAAAATGCAGTGTATCCTCAGAAGCCAGACACTTTAAGAGATTTTGAAAACGTAAAGCACTGTCATTTTTCTGATTTTTTGGTTTGCTTTGAAAAATAGTTTCCTATACTAATATGGTATAAAAATATTAACTTTGTTAACATATAATAAATCATTATCTTAAACAAATTAATAAAAATAATTTTGAAATTTCTTCCTAATTAGGTAAATATAATACATATCAAACAGATAAACAAAAACTCTTTAGAGGGCCTTAATAATGTTTAAAAGTGTAAGAGAGTCCTAAGAACAAAACACTGGGGTATCTGAAACAATGTAGTCTGAGAACCCTCACACTCAACTGTGGGAGCTTGAACCTGAATAAGTAGTCCAGACAGCACTTTAGCACTGGCTACTGCAACACCCACGTCCTACAGCCCAGCGATTCTACCTCTAGGCTTATACTCCAGAGAATGTGTCACACATCACTCTGCCTATTCTTCACTGTAGCATTCTTTTTACTTTAGATTCTCTTAAATTCAGATATGAATTAAGAACCTACTATGTGCCAGGCACCACTCTAGATCTGTAAGTGGAAGACTGTGCAAGTCCCCAACCTACCGAGCTTGCATTTATGGAGGGCACCAATCTACTGTATATTTTAAAGTAAAGCCAACACAAGAAGACAGAGAGAGACAGAGTGGATATGAGATATGCCGGGCGGGAAAGGCCTATTTGCAAAGAGATCATCTGAGGAAGAACTGAATGAAGTGAGTCTGAAATATCCACAGGATGAAACTTTGGAGAAGAAAAGAAGGAATAGCAAGCACAAAGACCAGAGATGAAAGTGCTCTCGGGAGGCTTGACCAAGAAGAACAGTGTGTTTGAAGTAGAACAAACAAAGGGAAAAGTGGTAAGAAATGTGCCAAGGCAGCTAGCCAGTAGGCGGATCTGACATGACCTTCAGGTCCACAGTAAGACTTGGGAACTCGTTTATGAGAGTGGAAGTGATTAAATGATTGTGGGCAAAGAAGGGACAGAGGCAAACTTGTGGAATCCATCACTCCAGCTGCTATCAAAAGAACAGATTATGGAAATGGTAAAGCAAGAACAGAATCAGGATAAAGAGCTGGGAGGATACTCCAACAATCTAGATGAATGAGGAGCGTGTTTCACGCCAAGGAAGGGCTGGGGTAGGGCACAGACTGACACAATTTGCCAACAGATTGCACATGAAATCCAGAGGAGAGACAAAAGGACTCCAAGTCTACTGGTTACAGACTGGTGGATTCAGCTGAATTTAAAAGTGTTGATAGTTACAGGGCAGCTGACCATAGCTCAAGAAGAGAGTCCTGAGGATCTCTACACCTCCATGGAATGCAATGACACACACTGGTTTAAATGAATAAAGTAAACCTGCATGCATCAAAATGAATGCCAATGGGAATGATCCAGTAGGGGAGGAGAGAGAAAGGACAAGGCCCAGAGAAGATGTGATCCAAAGCACAAGAGGAAGCTCCTCCCGCCTGAAAGGAAGCGTGCTGAGACTGCATGGGTACAGACAAAGGCAGTCGTGTTCTGTGGTGGGAAAATAAAAGAGCTCTTTTTGACATAGGCTTTTGTTTTCTTTTAAAACTGGGATGAGTTTACAATCCCATGAGTGATGTCAAAGGGTTCCTTTTTCCTAGGAGCTGTAAACTAGTACAATCACTATGGAGATCAGTATGGAGATTACTCAGAAAACTAAAAGTAGAAAATCCATTTGACTCAGCTACTCCCCTTCTTGGGATCTTCCTAAAAGGATTAAAGTCATCATATTACAGTGCTACATGATTACCCATGTTTATAGCAGCACAATTCATAATAGCTAAAGTTGGAATCAGCCTATAAGTCCATCAACAGTTGAAAGAAAAAGAAAATGTAGTATTTATATACAATGGCGTACTACTGTGCCATAAAGAAAGACTAACTCGAGGCATTTGCAGGTAAATGGATACACCACAAGACTATGATGTTAAGTGAAAAAAATCAGACACACATTTATATATTACATGGATTCTCTTATGTGAGAATCTTGAAGTATAAAGAGCAAAATAAAAGATAAGTAGGGAGATCTTCAAATGAGAAGGCGAAGACGAGATGGAGGGGGAGAAAAAAAGGAAGGACAGAGGATTTTTTAAAAAATAATTGAAAAAATGGAAATAGAGCTTTTGCAAATGGGAAGGGGACCAAGAGTCAGAAAAAAATAATTAAGATGCGTTACGTACATGGACAAACGCAACAAAATAAATGTAACCACTGTGTATCACAATCATGTACTAACATTTTTTCTAATTAAATGAGGTCATTATTAGTTAGAAAGATGGTAGCAGTGTGTACTCAGGAGAACGGGCTGTAGCATCCTCTGTCAGTACTGATGCCCATGCAGGTTGGAGAATCATAGCTTTGAAAGGAGTAAAACCAGCAAGAAGCGAACATGGATAAACCTCAAAAATATTCTGCTAAGTGAAAGAAGCACTGTATGATTCCTTTACATGCAATGTCCAGAACAGACAGAATCCATACAGAGGGAATGCAGATTGGTGGATGCCAGGAGCCAGGAGCAGGAGGGAATGAGGAGAAATGCATAAGAGGTTTTACTTCACAGTGACAGAAATACTTTAGAACTAGATAGAGGTGAGTGTTCTAAATGCCACTGAACTGTTCACTGTAAAATGATTGACTTTATCTTTACTATCATTTAAAAGAAGGAAAAGCTAAATTAAAACATTGTGTAGGAGGAGAGGAACACACCAAGATTAGCTTCAGGCCTCTCACCGGTCCCGGGATGAGTATCTTGCAAAGAATGAACTGCACATCTAATGGCAAGTGTAGTTTGGTTGTTAGCTTTTTGGGCTTCTAAGTATATATTCAAATTTCCCTGCTCCTTTGCTATATAGCAAAGGATGTTAAGAAGTAAAACAACCGATTTCTATTGTGTAAAATGCATCAAATCCCTCATGCGTGCAGAGTGGAGCATGCATTTACAAAGGACTAAATATCAATTCAAGTGTTTTGGATATTAATCAAGAAAACCAATCCGGTCTAAAGTATTAATTTTGCAAGGCACTGGGCCATACAAGTAACACAGAACATAAACTTGACCTTCAATAAACCTCTAATCTCAACACAAAAAGAAACAAATAATTTTGTCACTTGTCACTTTCTCAGACTCTTGGGAAGAGAGGATGAGGAAAAGAAGAAAAGGAGGAAGAAGAGAAACTAAAGAGATGAAGATTTAGGGAGGTAGGGGTACCAGAGAAAACATGAGGTAAGATGTGGAAGTGGAAGAGGAGGTGCAGGAGAAGGGGAGGAGGAGGAGGAATAATCCACAGTAATAGCTGGCACAGGGCGGGAATTTGGGGTTAATCACATTGGTGGTTTTTCTAGCAGAGGACAGGAGAGGGGTCAAGAACGCTTAGAAGGCAGTGGTGCCAGTGGCTATGGGGCAGTAACGTTCCATCTCACCTGGACAAAGAGAGAAGGAAGTAAATAGAAACAGCGAGGCAGCACTTTCCTTTCTCCACTTCCAGGGAGCAGTATTTGTCAATATGTAGCTTCCCTGAGAGGGACAGCTCTTCCCTTCCAAGTCCCCATCTCTGACCCCCTGCCAAAGACATGGAAATCCTCTCTTCTCAGGCACGATCAGGGCCTAATCACACATGCCAAGCACACACTGAGCTACACAGCTACGCCTGATGGACTGAAAAGCTGGGTGTACCCACAAGACACCCTTGATCTTCCTACCTGGCCTCTATCCTTCCCTTCATCAGGACCTGGTGCCCAGTGCCCCCTCATCCAGAGAAAAGCAAGTCCCATCAACCACAAGAGTAAAACCCTCACCCATACCACACAGCCAAGTAAGTCTTGGGCTTAAAGATGTTCTTTTCCAATAATTAAAAGTAGAATAATAAACCACAGTTGCCTAGTGCTTTTAATTACATTTGCCTAATTCATATATGTTGTTCGTATTATACATTTTGCTATATTGATTTACAAACTCAAGGAATAAACTGTATCTTACCAGCAATCCATGACTGTGAAACAGAGGAGGCCTCCTGGGTAGTTTCCTTCACTGTGCTGGGTACTTCTCTGCAGATCTATAGCAGCAGGCCGAACAGAAACAGAATAACATATAAATAAAGATGGCCATACTTTCAAAAGAAAGGTGTTTTGCTAAATGATAGCTGGGCCACTTTTCTTCCCTGTAACAGTTAAGCTTTTGTCTCCACCTTCACTACTGGCTGCCATCTTGCTTGGGCATTCACTCCACTGACATTCCTCTCAAGAACATGGGCCAGCTCTCAGCTGCTGTGGCTTTGACAGGATTTCATGGTGTCCACCCCCATCTCTGTCCCTTGAATTCCATCAACACCTTTTGATCCTCAATTTCCTCCACCTCTCTGTCTCTTCTAAGTTTGCTTCACCAGCTCATTTTCCTCTGCCCTTCCACCAAATACCACTACTCTACAGTTCGTTGTGTTTTTTTTGGTCTTCCTATCCTTGACCCTGCACTCTCTCTGGGTCCTGGTTTCCATTGGTCTTATTGACCCTACAGAGTTTTCTAAGGCTGAAGACTCCCAATACTACATATGTCTGTAATTCAGCTGTCAACTGGCTATTCAGACATGGCAAAATCTGAATTCACTGGTTCTATTTTCTCTGAAATAGTCCTCCTAAATTTTTTTCTAGAATCTAACAGATTTTCCTATATCCACTGGTGGGATTATTCCTTCAATCTCTGCAGTAATCTTTCAAAAATATAACTTTCTTCTTCAAGTTACATTAGTAGCTGTCCATTACCCTCAAAGTAGTGAGCTGCTCTCAAAAAGCAGTTCAGGGTAAGGCCTCCAGAACCTGAACTATGAGCACCTCTCAGCCTCATACCTTATAAGGATGTAGCCATCAGGACACAGGTGCAGGGTGCTCATTCTCTGTCTCTCCTCTTTCACTTGCCGCTGCTCCTACCTGCGATGCCCTTCCCTCCACTCTTCCCCTGACCAATATTTACATATCCTTCTTAAATTAGTCTGGATGTGCTCTCCTGCCCCAAACATTCCATGCTTAACCCCCAAAGCCAAGCAAGTGTTCTACCTATATGTTCCACTGGGCACTTCTACGCTACGATTGCTTTTCTGCTTGTCTCATCCATAGCAAGCTCTCTAGGTGACACCAGTACTATACTCTTTTCAGTATTTCTAGCTCTTAAAATGATGCCTAGCCTAGGGTGTGAATAAAAATCCATTGCGTTAATGAAAGATGACAGTTGCTCTGAGGTACTGTTCTTGGTTTGGGAAAGGTTTGTCTCTTTTTGAGGTATAATTCATACACATACTGTAAGTCTGACTCCAAGGTTTCTGACCTAAGGATTATAGGACGTAACCTCCATTAACTGAGGTTGCGGCACATTAGGGCACAGAAGGAGGAGGCAGGCAGGACGTCCACTGTGTATGTCAGTCTGAGGCGCCTATCAGACGTCCAGGCACAGGTGCTGAGCAGAAGGCTTTATTTGCAAGTCTAAAGCACAAAGAGGAGTCCAGGCGGGAGATGCAGATGTGTGAGAAGCAGTAATTCTCCATCAAAGAGGCCAGATCAATGAGTGCCTGCCTCATTAGTCATAGGACAATGCCTACTATTTTAAGAGGATCAAAAAGAAAATGTGACTTTTCTAAGAGGTCCATGCAAATGCAACTGTAGCAATAATATATCTATACAACATCCCACCCAGACCACCTCTTCTGATATTGCATGTACCAGGACAAAATAAAAAGAAATCTGACTTCATCTACCTTTAACTATTTCCACTGCAAAAAAGTAATGGTGTGAGATAAAAAACCTCATCTGAATCGTACTGTAGTCACGTCATTATATTCCACTGGAAATTTGTAATGAATAAAATCACTGCAAATAAACATATATGTGCAACATTGGGAAGCTATTTTATGGCCACCAGTTTCAGAAAATTATTGGCATTTTATTGCCTAACTCTAATCTATATTCATTATAATCCTCTAGGCCAAATAATTCCATGTAAAGTAAAAAGTATTCTTTGACAGTACATGCTTCTGCCTATGATGGATGAAAATATTGTAAACACAAGTATCAGTAAAATGTGCCCATACTGGGTATAATTAAAAGGTAAAACAGTTACAAGATCCCACTTTTTTGATCATAAAATCAGTGACTATGAAAAAGGTGTGAGAATAACTCCACATGCACACCTTATTCCATGTCACATTTACACTTCTTAAACTTTCTGAAAGTTTATCTCTTTCATGTAAGCTCAGGCTCTTATCTGCAAGCACTTCCACTTCAGTTCGATTCAGCCATTTGAGCTTTTCCTCCTGTGCTTCCAACTCTTGCCTTAAGTCCTAAAGGAATCAGAAGACAGGTGTGGTTAGTTGTTTTGCAGAGCAAAGTTCAAGATACATATTAGAAATCTCTTGGGAAAGCATTCCTAGAAATGTGCAATTTTAATATCTTAGGTGGAAAATGAGCTTTCAGGAAGCACGTACCATGTTAACAAGCCATAACCGATAGAGAATGGATACACATTAATGTTCACGTGTGTGCACATATGTACAAATGCTCGCTCACTGGTACTCTCTCTCTTAACAGCATCCTATTATATTAATATATTCACATTGCTAACTTAACATTCTATTCTTACCTCCACCTTACTATTGTGCCTTAACACTCATATACTGCCCAACCCTTTGTGTCTCTTCCCAACCTATTTACAAAAGGGTTACTAGAAAACTGTTGAAAGTTTTAGGTAAAACACGATATTAAATATATATTTACATTTTGAAAAGAAAAATCAATGCTTGTCTCATAATATTTTTCATCATTATTAAAAGTTTCTGCCCCAAAATGCCTTAATCACATTCCTTAAAGATGGAATCTTTTATCAAATTGATAAGCACCTTCACATGCACAGGTTTAAACATGAATGTATATCTGTACACAATATAATATTTTAATAAAAAATATGAACACATCATGCTTATTAGTCTGCAATGTGTTTAAATTCTTAACACAAAGTAGAAATACTTCTAGATATAAAATATACATTTGAATATATTTACATATTTGTATATCTTTGTTATCTTTATATATTATACACAAATACAACAATAAGTTATTGTTGGTTGAAAATCAACAAAGGAACCATAAAGAATACAACTGTGACACTCAATCTAAGGGAAGCGCTGGTGAGTTACTCTGCATGTCACTCAAGAGTTTGATTGTAAAACTCAATTTTATAGATCATAATCAGTAATTATCTTCCAAATCTAAAAGACAAAACTATACTTCACAGCCCTATTATTTTCTAAAAATGACAAAGTCCATTTAAAATGCTCTAAAAGCCTTTGTTCTACGACAGAGACCATGAGGGTTCATGCTTTTTATATGAATGAAGCTTTATCGTGCAAGATCAAAACTACAGCTGCTCCTTAAACAAAACAGCTCTTCTTTCAAGCTTACCACACTCAGCTCAAAGTACAAAGTTTCTTTCCCTTGTCTTCCTGAGTCACCTACACTCATCCTTAGGGGCAATGCTCCTGCACCAAAGGCAGGAACAGACACAGGGAAGCCACTCACTCTCCATCTCCGCAGGGTTTCCTCCAGCTCCAGCTCGCTGGGCAGCCTCTGCTGCACAGCCTTCTCGGCCTTGGGTAGCCAGCAGACAATCTCATCCAGCTTTTTCCTGTACTCCACCACCTGCTTACTTTCTCCTTTTAGCCTAAAAGAATGTATTTTTGAAGAATATTAATTAATATGTAATAAAGCGTATTTGCTTTGGATATCCTGAATAAATAATACTCCTCCCCCAAAATAATTCCTAATAGTGATTTTAATATGTATTTTATGACTATTAATAGTAATGTATACATTTTGCTAGACTAAATATAACTTAGTAATGACAAAAAGAAATTTCTAAATAAATTAAAAAACACTGAAACTAAAGAATATTATTTTCTCTCATCATAAAAATTATCTAGACATTTAATACAATATACGTTTTGTTTGTTTTTGCTGTGCTGGAAATTGAACTCAGGTCCTTGCACATATTAGGCATGTACTCGACTACTGAGCTATACCTCCAGCCACCTAATAAAAAATCTTTTTAGGCAGGGGATTTAACTCAGTGGTGCTGCTGCCTCCCTCGCAAGCTCAAGGTCCTGAGTTCAATCCCTGGTACCAAAAAAAAAAAACTTTTTTAAAAGTTAAATAATACCACATAACATAATGGAAGTTTTAAAAAAACAGGAAATATATCTTTATCTAAATTAATAAGGGAAAATGCACAGTTCTCTCTGTGTCCTACATGGAGATAAAAAGGGGTCTTTATATAGCACACATATTATTCACATCAGGTGGTAACTATCACTCTACTTTATTCAGAGGACAGAAAGAATAAGGTAAGGTACCAAGAACTGAAAATTTCTATAAGCATTAGGAAAAAAACATGTAAATCTGACTGGTTCATTATAATGAGTATTAGATTTGAATATGGCATCAACTTAAAAAAAAAGATCCAGGGAAAACACAGCAGAAGTTTTAAAGGATCCAAAGAAAACAGTCAGATGAACGTAAAAATGGAAAGGCCTTAATTAGCCCTTATCAAATGTTGTAAGAATAACATTTATAAGAATACAACCCATCTGTCAGAAGATTAGAACTCATATGACAAACAAGATGATACATATTTTAAAAAGTCTTGAAAGCTGCTAAGAGCTTAATGGCATCATGATTTTTATGGCTGCTATAATTAGATGCTGGTTGAAAAACCAATCATAATTTTTAATGAATTATATTGTGTCATCCCTAATAATAATTTACATTTTTATGGCTATGCCTTTTTTAGTCACAATGAAAGGATTAACATAATGATGTAATACATGTAAAAAAAGTTTAATACATATTTGAGAGTCAATAATATTTGAAGGGGAGTACTGTAATACTTAAAAAACTAATGAATATTGCTACAAAACCATAATTTTCAAGTATCCATCAGAAGAAAATACTGATTAAAAATAAGTAAAGCAAATCACAACACAAATTGTTAAGATTATCAATACAAAAGCAGGTACTCTTCCCTCTCCATTGCAAAGCATTTAACTTCTAAATAAAATAGTAGTATGAACTTTTCATTTCCAAAAAAGGTTGGAATTTAAATTTCCCATGTTTCATTATCATCACTAATTTAATACTTTGAAAACAGAAGTACAAAGTAAACTACATTATCAAATGATTTCAACAAGACATTTTTAATCACCCAACATTTTCATCTGCAAAGCAATTAAATATAATCTACATTATAAATGTTAACCTTAAGAGGAAAAAACATTATAAATTCTGTTCAAACAGTAGATAACAATTGCTCATTAAGGAATAACACCATAAGTTGCTAAACTGTGCAAATATTTAGCTACAGACACTCAATACAAAAACAAACTGAACTGTGTGGTACTTCTCAGTGTCACTGATAACAGTGCATATAAAAGCTCTTCAGTTCCACAGTGGTCCTGAGGTAAAATAGGCTACAAACCTGAAGTAAAGTATAATATGAATTTAAAAAAACAAAATTGCTTTAGACGAAGTGTAAGATATTGGGGCAGAGGTTTATTATCCATTACACTTCCAAAAAATGAGTGAAATCTGTATTAATATAACCATGCTAGTTTCAGGAGCAATAATGACCGCACACCACAGAGATCTCTTTGAAAATCTTTAGGGGAATTTCTGCATTTATTATTAATACCCTGCTAGCCATAAGTGAATGCTTTTCATCAAGAAAGCTGAGGAGTCAGGTAATTACAAGAAAGAAGGACCCTCCACTCAAAGGCACATGCATGGCATAGCAGTTTCCATGGCACCTCCCCCTCCAGTCCTGTCCTAGTTTCTTGAGCCTGGCTCTTCCTCTCATCCCTAGAAAGCTCTCACAGAGCCATTCTCCCCACACCTCCCACCTTTGCTCCACCTTTTCCCTAGAAGGCTGCTACAGTCTGCATCTGGACTTGGTCCCTAGCTCGGCACTATTGAAGGTGGTAGTTAGGGATGGGGGTCTAGTGGGAAGTGTCACCGGGAACGCACTTTGAAGGGATAGGGGATCCCAACCCTTTGTACTTTTCTTTTTTAACTTCCTCACATGAGGAAAGGTGTTGCCCACCTTGCACTACCATCATGATGCCACCAGAGGCCAAAGCAACAGGGCCAACCAATCGTGGACTGAACCTTCTAAAACTATGAGCCAAAACAAACTTTTCTCTTTATTTGATTATCTCAGCTATTTGTAATGGAATGGGAAAGCTGTCAAGCACAAAGGCCTTCCCTAGAAAGAATTTATGAAAAATTGCTATTCATGCCTTAAAACTACTTGGTTTTAATATCCTTTTTTTAACACTAGAAATTGAACCTAGGGCCTTAGCACTGACCTGTGTCCCCAACCCCTATTCCAACCACCTTTTTTTTTGTTTTGGTCTGGGTCTCACTAAGTTGCTATGTTGCCCAAGATGGATGGTATCAAAGATACAATCAACCTGCCTCATCCTTCCAGAGTGCTGGGATTACCACACCCAACTTTCTTTCTTTTTAATACCTACATTCTACAGCCCATCATGACTGTCTCTGTGACAACACAGTATCTTCTTGAGAATATTTTCTTTAGTCAAACTAATGCCATTTTTTCTTTTAACATTCTCTTTTTAGCCTATGAGATCTTTAATGACATTTGAATACCTAGTACTACACAAAAGGCTCAGTAAATATCAGTCAAATCAAATAACCAATCATCAGTAAAATTCAGTAATAACGTGCGGTGAGTAAGCAGTGAATGCTATATTCCCTGGGAATCAAACATGTTTGGAACCTGAAGACAACCTAACAAAATCTGGGCCATTTTACTATAATCAGAATAAAAATAAATGATAATACACTGACTACATTATAAAGGTGAGGAGCTTCCTGGTTTACAGGTAACTGGCATGGAAGGGTACAGCACAGCATTTGGCACCAAGAGCAACCTCATGAGCTGGAGACTAACACAGGCTCAGTCAGGAAATGAGCGTGAGGAAAGCTGACCTTAAACTCAGGGAGAGACCTGAGCTCCAGCATGTTCTTCCAACTAAATCAAGTTGCCCCCAACATCATCATACCCTAATAAACAGATGAAGAGAATAAAGGTCTTTTTTTACATATATGACATCTGAATAGGAAAGTGGGCCTTTGTGAACAGCCAGAAAATACCCATGTTTGTAGAACCACAACTCATAATAGGTACATCTTGGAAGCAGCCCATATGTCCATCAGTAGATGAATGGAAAAAGAAAATGTGCTATTTACACAAAATGAAGTACTACTGTGCTATAAAGAAAGATAACCTTGAGTCATTTGTAGGAAAATGGATGCATCTTGAGACCATAATGTTAAGTGAAAGAAATCAGACACACAAGCTTAAACATCACATGGTTTCACTTATATGAGAAACCTAAAGTATAAATAAAGAGCAAAATAAAAGATACATAATAAGAGACAGAGGGTAGATCTTTTGCAAATGGAAAGGGGACCCAGAGATGAAGCGAAGGAGGGGAAAGGGGATGAAAAAAAGAATTAAAATCTTATGCACATAGACCAACTCCCCACAAGGAATATAATCATTATGTACTTACTGCAAATGTGTACCAATACAAATTAAAATTGATAGAATTAAACGAAAACAGTAATGAGGAAGGAACATGGCCAGTGAAAGTCTTACAAACAATTTCTATCATAAGACCAGATGATAAAAAAGCTTTGAACTCATGGGCTTGTATCTTAGATTCCGATCAAAATGCACTGACTCTCTGCCTCTAAGGACAGCAGCTGCCTCACCTGGGCTGCCGAGCCTTCACTTGGGCCAGGATCACACTCCAGCGCTGGTTCAAACCTGCCAGCTTGTCTTTCAGGAAGCCCCCGTCCTCAGGGGGCAGTTTCTGCACAATCCCATCCCCGATCTGGTTGACCGTGACCACGCTGAGCTGGTGGCTGCTGACGCCCTCCTCAAGCTCCTACAACAGAGCATAATGCAGTGTCCACCTCGCTACTTGGCAACACTGTTCTCGTGCCACGAATCCACCCAAATATTGCATCATCCGTTAAAGCATTAGAGAAACAAATGCTTGGAAGGGCATTTTATATTCATGGAAAAGGCTCTTTAAAACTACTTAATTACACTCCAAGGGACAACACATTGAATGAAATCTATCTTGAAATCGAACTCACTTTCATGAATGCCATCAGCCAAAACAAAGTGAAATAGGAGAGTCTAAATTATAAAGCAAATGACAGCTGTTTGCATAGAAGTTGAAGCATCAATCATGTTTGATTAAAATGAATTGCTCATTTTCTTCCAAACAAGTGCTTAAAAGCATCTCTTTTTAAAAAAAATTCCCCCCATATATTCTGGTGTCCAGCCATACATAAATAAGTCTCAATGTGCGTTTTCCTGAGACATTGTTTCAATGGTCTGTAAATGTTTAAGTAACAGATTAAAGGGATATTTTAAAGTTAAATTCAAGCATTGATTGTAACTCTAAAAAATTGGGAAATGTGTTAATATTTTTATGAGAAAAAATAAAAGCATTTTCTTTCAATTCCTCGTGAGGCACCTACAGGTAATACATCTTAAAATTTTAATAAAAGGAAATATTTCTAACATTGGTATAACTGAAATCTTGCTTTCTATCATTATTTTTGAAGACTTAATGTTATCAGAAGAACTTGTTTGGCTATTGTATTAGATTTGTCTAGACTGAACTAAACTTACATGAGCAGCTACCCTGCTGTAGCTCAAGAATAACTTACTTTTATGATAATTATCTATGATACAAAGCAAAATGCGATGCCTGTGTACTGAAGGACAGAAAACAGAGGTAAGGTTTGTACATATTTTTCTTGCCTTGATAAGTTCTTGGGTAGAAAATTTTACAAATGTAATTTTCAATATAAAATTTCAAAAGAGGAAATTGTTAGAATGGTCTGGCAGGCCTGTAATGCCAGCCACTGCAGAGACTGAAGCAGGAGGATCTCAAGTTCAAGACCAGTCCCAATGATTTACCAAGAACATGTCTCAAAATAGAAAGTAAAAAGGGCCGGGGTGTAATTCAGTGAGAGACTCTGGGATCAACGCCCAGTGCCAGAAAAAAAAAAAAGGAGGAAATTGTTCTTAAACAGTTCTTAAAATAAATTTGCTTCTCACATTAGCCATTAAACAGTACTTTTTATTTAAACTTCTTTAAAATCCCTATTGAAAGTTGCATATGATCGAATTCTCCTAAACCTTTGAAACCAAAAACTAGACCAAAAATTATAAACTATATACTCCTGAAAAACTACCAAATGTGGTTCCCACTCCTGAAATCTGTCTGGAGTGACACATGGTAACACATATGCAGCGCAACAGCTGCCTTGCCTGCGACAAACACACTCACCTGCTGATGAGTCCTAGCCTTCTCCAGATCCAGGCTGCCGTCCGGAGCACAAGTATCGAGCAGTATCTCTTCCGCTTCCGTTACCCACTGCGTGAGGTCATTAAGGTCACAGTGGAACTGTCTCCATTCTTCCATGGCCCTATCGAAGTGACTGCAGGACCAGAAACAAAGTAAAATGGGTTTCTAAATTCTCCAGGAATGCCTATGAGCATTTTTTTTTCTAAAACAAAAATTCAAATCTCATTTAAACTGACATTTCCCAAATGAGGTAAACATAACTCATTGCTCTACAAGACCAATGTTCACAGTAGATTATAGTTAATAATTCCTCTTCAAGCAGAAAATCAAGAGCAAGGTAATCTGCACACACTGCCATTCTACCCTTCCCCAACGTACACGTACGTGCACAGACACACAGACACACAGACACACACACACACACACACACACACACACACACACACACCCCAAGGCATCTTAGGCATCTTTTCATTAGAAAAGATGCAGCCTCCTCTGGCTTGCAAAGCCAAGCTTCATTAGTTATAGCATGTTAATCCGCTCAACTTTATACAGTTAATATTTCAGTACCACAAAATATATGGTGAATTACTCTATTTTCTTAGAAAAAAAAATATGTTGTTACACCTATAAAAATTCCAAAGGGCTCAGGGCCGGGAATTTAGCTCAGTGGTTCCACTGCCTGCCTAGCAGGTGCAAGGTCCCAAGTTCGATCCCAGGTACCAAAAAAAAAAAAAAAAATTCCAAAGGGCTCAATCACTTCTAAATTCCCTTGTACTCAATTGACTTGGTGTCACAAACTTAATTCTGTCCAGTGGAAATTTATATGTCAAACCCCTAAGCCCCATGGTGACAACGTATTTGGAAATGGGGCTTTAAGGATGTAACTAAGTTAAACGAGGGTGGAGCCCTAATCTGAAAGGACCAGGGGCCTTATGAGAAGAGGAAGAGACACGCAGAGCGTTCTCATGTAAGAGTGGAGCGAGAAAGTGGCTCTCCGGAAGCCAGTAAGAAAAACCCCACCAGAAACTGACCCTGCCCCACCTTGCTCTTAGCTTCCAGCCTCCAGAATTGCGAGCAAATAAATGTCCGTTGTTTGGACCACCCAATCTGTGCACCTTCTTATGGCAACCAAACAGACTAATATGCTTTCTGTAATGAGTAATCTTGAGTGCCCCATTTACCTAAAGACAGTAAGAATGGAAGTATGTGCAAAGCACAAATAAGATGGAAAGGGAAAGCCTGATTGGATTAGGATCTAAGGAAATTTTATTCATTCATTTATATTTAGAGTGGTGGAGCTAGGAGAGGTTTGAAAGATTTCTGAAGCAGACTGTGGTGGTGCACACATGCAATCCCAGCACTCTAGAGGCTGAGAAAGGAGATTACACTGAATTTGAGGCCAGACTGGGATACATAGATAAGAATGTCTGTCAAAAAAGCAACAACAACAACAAATAAAAACAAAACAAAACCCTCTGAGATTCTAATATTAACAAAATTTATATTTTTATACAATAAAAATGTAGCATCATCATTTTAAAAATAATAAAATGATCACACCAACCTCACAAATCTCTAATGTTTAAATTGTCTTCTTGCATAAGAAATTATTTTTAAAACCTGGCTAATATTTGTTAACTGAACACAGGAAAGCAACACTCTTAAGAGTGAGAAAAATAACATTTCAAAGAAAGTTCGAGATGATACTACAGCAATCTTAGTGTGACTGGTAACCCCATGCACTAACAATAATCACAACTTCCAATTTTATAGATACTACAATATTGAATAGGTAATGTTGTTAATAAGGTTGTTCGGAAGATCTAAAGGCTTTGAGAATATAAGCACTAAACCTAGAAAAGATCAATACCACTACTAACAGAACATTAAATTTCAAACAAGTCTAAGCAGTATAACTATGGGCTAAGTTGAGAAGAGTTCTAAAGCAGGATACTCAGTTCAGCTCAGCAGAGCCATCTCCTCCTCTCTACCCCAGCCTGCAAGGTGGGAGGCACCAAGAAGTCATGAGGGCCTATGGAGTTCCAAGGAGGGAGAATCTCAAAAGCCCAAACCTTGCTGACCATGAAGAGATGTCTGCTCATCTTTCCCATCCTTTATTTGGCTTTAAACTAGAAAAGAGTTTGCTGTCCCTAACAACCCAACTGGTCTTGCCATCTTCTCCACGAGCTCATCTCACCACCTGTGTCCCCTGTGGAAAGATGGGTGCCATCGCCTCCCAAGATCCTCAAGCCAAAGACATGGGGGCTGCTTCTTAGGCCCCCCTTCCTTCCTCCAGGTTCATCACATTCATCAACCCCGACATTCTACAGATTCAACCACTTATTTCTCAAATTCTCCCTCAGTTGCCACTTCCATGACTTGTCAAGCCAACGTCACATGACAATCACAACTGGTCTCTCGGTCTTGTCTTCCGCCAATCTGTCCTACAATCAATCAACTGTCAACCCCTGGGTAAAATATTGCAATTGCTCTCTCCTGGTTTCAGACTAAAATAAACTACTTAATAAGGTCCTTCGGATTTGGCCCCTTTAGACCTTTCTGGTTTCATCTCATTGCTAAGAGTTCTAGGTCTACTGGGCTATTTTCTTCTGCTCAAACGCACCACACTCCTCTCATCTATGACCTTATGCAGTGTTGCATTCTGCCTATGCCTTCATCTGGCTAACGTCACAGTACCCAAGAAGTCTGCTGAGATCTACCAGGGTCCTTATCGTGGCCTCCTGTGCTGTCCTTTCTACTAGGGCATATATTTTTTTGTTTTGATTTTTTGGTACCAGGAATCAAACTTGGGTCCTTGCACTTGCGAGGTAGGCAGCAGAACCACTGAGCTAAATCCCTGGCCCATGTGCTGTCCTTTCCATAACCCTGTCCACTGTCTAATAATAATCTGTCTGCTTCTTTATACTATATATTTTTGGACCCTGAGAGGGACCATATCTGTTTGTAATCCTCTACACAGGTATCTCATTAGTGTGCAATGAATCTTCATCAAACACCTGATGCATGAATAAATGGATGGAAAGGTAGATAGGTAAAGTCTTTTTATAATGAAACAGAACTCTAATAACTTTTTAAATGATGTAAAAAGAATGACTGATGGAATAGAGAAGGAAAACTATCCAGTTGGAGGATGGAATTTGGAGTATAAATAAGAAAGAAAAAGTGAAGAAAGTGAAGAAAAATGTAAACACATTGTGTGTAGTGAGCCAAAAAAAATCTTATTTTGAACAGAGTGTAACATATTAAAATTAAGGCCCACTGAGAAGACTGTTAAAAAGCTTCTGAGCTCAAGAAAAGGCTGGACTTCATCTATACAGCAATGAAAGCCACAAAAGAACTTAATGAGGGTAACTGTCTGAGAAGAGATTTCTTAGAGAAGACACACAAGGACTCAGGTATTTAAGACAGGAAGGAAGAAATATCTGAGCACAAGGAATAAAATATGCCAGATAAAAGAGTGCCACGATCTGCCTAAGTGGTTTTAAAGTTCTTGTTTCTGGAAATATGAATCTGAATGCCTCCGATGACCACAAAGGAGGCATAAGGAGGTTCTTTCTGAAGGAGGAGATGCTTTATTTCCACAGTATCTACCTCTCTTTCCCTGTAGGCCAGCAACCAGCTTGAACAGTAGGAGACAGAGCACCTCAGAGACCTGGAACAGACGGGGTCCTTGGTGGCCTCCCTTGTGTGCTGATGACTAAGAATTGAAACTCTGCATGAGGCACATGATTGCATGGAATTTAATCAAAAGGAGGGGGGAGTGCAAAAAAGCTCTCACTTGTTGCCTGAGATGGGTGATTAAATAGAATGGAGAAAAATAGGCAGGTAAGGATAGCTTAGCAATGTAAGGAAAGGAAAAGCACATTACTCTTTTGTAACAATCCTGATAAGAAAAGTTTCAACAACACTTCAAACTTTTCTGAGGTCACAGAAAAGAGCCCAGAACAAGAAAACAAAGACTACATTTTGAATTGATCATTTTTCCATAAAATGACTGAAATGACTAAGATTTTACAGAAGAAGAGATATAGAAAGAGAATATAGATTTCAGGATAATTGTGGGGAAAGAAATGTGGATTTTACTTTGTCGAATGGAAAAAAAATACAATGCTTTAAAAATGACAATATGGTAGTAGTTGACTAACACTACTGGTACAAGAAGTCAAAATTTGCAAAATTAAATAAATAGGAAAAATTGGTTGTTCATTTTAAAAAATGAAGCAAACTATAGCAGATCAGTGTTTAACAGGCTGCACCAAAAGATAGCTGAGGAATGTTTAAAAAGTAGACCTGCATACTCTACAGCATGTGTTCATGCTATACAACACAATTCAAGACCAGCTTGAACTAAGTAATGAAACTCTGTAGCAAAAACAAAACAAAAATCAAATGGTTTAGATAACTAAATGTAAATTATAAATCAACCACTAAAACTTATTTTTAAAATATACATATTTATACTCACAGTGAAAAAGTAATGTATATGCATATTGTCTCATTTTAATTAATGAAATCACAAAGAAAAAGACTATAAGATATAGTTATGTAGGGGCCAGGGATTTAGCTCAGTGGTTTCACCACCTGCTGTGCAAGCGCAAGGACCTGAGTTTGATCCCCGGTACAAAAAAAAAAAAAAAAAGATACAGTTATGTAAAACTGAATTTTCTATATCTCAAAATTTCACCATTACCAAATTAAACATCATATGAAAAGCTGTGGCTACTTATTCAATAAACAAAAAATATAAATGGTTAATATCCTTGATGAAGAAAAAAGCTTTTGCAAAAGTAAATCAATAATAATACCATGATTTAAAACATATGTAAAAATATTCAAATCTCACTGATAGGGAAGTGAAAATAAAATTGAGATGGAACCTATCAATATAAAATCGGAGCAGCAATCTTTTAAAAAAATCCTGCCAAATTTAGGCAGGGCTCAAAAAGGACATACTTCCAAATACTACTGGTGGCAGGGCTGCAGTAACCAATTTTAGATGTAATTTAGAGCCTTAAAATGTTATTACTTTTCAGCAAATCTGTCTTCCTCTAATAATCAAGCCTGATAAAATATAAGTGAGAGGGCCGGGGATTTAGCGAGTTAGCTATTTAGCTCAGTGGTGCTGCCACCTGCCTCACAAGCGCAAGGTCCCGAGTTCGATCCCCAGTACCAGAAAAAAGAAAAAAATATATATATATGAAAGAATAAGCTATTCATAGAAAGATATTCTCTAAATGTATGAAGAGATGATTTTCAAAATCTATACAAAGAAATAAAGGCTACGAAAAAATACCTTTTCAAGGATTGGATAGTCACATGAAATATATTGGCTGTAATTTTTTTTAAAGATGAAGAATAAGATGTCTGGTTTTTATGTCTCTAAAGTTTTCCAATGTGTTATTCTGTATTAACTTTTGTATAGTACTTTATATCCAGCTAGTTCATATCCTGTTTGCATTTCCACTACAGATCTACTGGCAAAAAATCAAACCACTTTGTGTTTCTACCTTTTAAAAGGCCTGGCCAAAATCTACTAAGAAGGTTCAAAAATATCCTGTGAAACAGAAGGCTATAAAAAAGGACTTGAGGGGGCCGGGGATTTAGCTCAATGGTTCTGCCGCCTGCCTAGCAAGCACAAGATCCTGAGTTTGATCCCCGGTTCCAAAAAAATAAAGAAAAATTTTTAAAAAAGGACTTGAGGTTATACATGGATTCCAATTCTCTGTAGCTGTCTCTGCCCTACACTCACATTAATCATCAAGTAGGTAGAGAAAGTGAACATTAATGAAAATCCTTTTTAAATTTTTAAAGAATAAGACATTATTTAGATATTAATAATTAAAGGTGCTCCCATATTCTTTAGATATTATGTGAAAAATGGTCAACTGTATATGATCAATTCCTTTTTAAGGAAGTTTTCTCATCACAATGTAGTGAGCAGAGCACATTATAAGGATATGAAACATACTATCCGGAAGCACACTGTATACATGAACTTCTCTGTGGCCCATGGACGTGCAGGGATATTTTTAGAAATTAAATAGGAGTTCAGTGTGCACATACCCTTTCCGATCACTGTACATTCTGTTAACTCTGTCCCACTTGGCATTCAGCTGAGACAACATGTCTCTGATCTGGATGGCTTCAGGCCCGGAGGCTTCCAGGATGACATCAGGCTGCTTCTCATGAACAACTGCGATCTGCTCTCCAAGTCTGTCCAGTTGGTCTTTGATGGTCTGAAGACACATTGCCACACATTAGCAAAATCCAGCCAGGAATAGAAGAATCACAAATGACTGAAAATTTACACTGGAGGACACCCGTTTTAAGATAACAATGAAACATACTTATTGTTGTTCATGAAAACTGGCAATGTTTTAAAAAAAAATATTCTGCATTGGCCCAAGAGAGCAGAATGCTATAACACTAATAACAGGAAGAAAAATGTCCTTGCTGATTTTCAAAGTGGCTTTGATAACATTCTATGAAGGCCAACAAGTGTTTGAAGTGAAATTATTTATATTTGTAATTATCTAATAATGCTACTTTAAATGACAGAAATGAGTTATCAGACCTACAGAATCTATCAATGACTTTACATAAATGCAATCAAATTAAATAAAAAACGTTGAAAGAACAACTAAATACTTTAACTTACAAAGATGTCATTCCATACTTCAACAACAAGACAATCTTAAATCATTATAGTTGGCCTGAGAAATGTTGCATTTTACACAAATGAGAATCAAGATTATAAGACAGGAATATGATCTGTGCTTATGTTTGACGACAAAAAAGTTTGATGTTGCAAATAATATTCATGCATACATAAAAATCCATACCCATTTTTTTTTTTGGTACCAAAGATCGAACTCGGGACCTTGCACTTGCGAGGCAGGCGGCAGAACCACTGAGCTAAATCCCCAGCCCCTCCATACCCATTTTAAAAATTAAAATTGTTATATTTCTTTGGTGAGTACAGGAAAGTTTCATTATTCATATACATTATTAATTCCTTGGCACACATTTTAAAGGATGCACACCATCTACACAGTTAAGATAAATTTCTTGCTTCATTTCTACATTAACTATTCCAACACAGGGCCTGGAGATTTACCTTCAGAGAGTCTTCCTGAAAGGAGAAATCTTCATAGACAGTGGTGTTTAGTTCAGGAACATTAAGGGATAATTCAACACCATCCATGGCAAGTAATATTTTGTTAATTTCAACCAGATAATTTGGGGGGAGAGATGATCTAATCCCAGAAGTGAGTTGGCTTGTTTTCCTCTGTTGAATGGGGATGGCCTATAAAAAAAATTTTTTTTAAGTACTGCATATACCTTAAAATATCCCCAAAATGAGTTAATAGCAAAATGCCATAGACTATTCAGACTACAGCATTAAAGACCATGAATCAAAGTTAAGAATCTTAATTATCATTTTGTATATTTTAAACCTATACTGTGTCAGAAACTCTGAACAATCTTTATTTCAATTTTTATCTGCAGCCTGGCATTAAGTAGCATAAATAAGTCAATACCTGAATGTTTTGTTAGTTGCTTTTTTTGCAGTATTGGAGGTTAAACCCAGCAAGTACTCAACCACTGAGCTAAATACGTAGCATTTTACATAAATTTTTTATTTTGAAAGAGTCTCGCATTTCTCAATACTCAAATCTGAAGCAAGCCTACAGGTACACTGAGTTTATCAACAGACTAACTATACTTGTTGCTAATATTAATTTTACTATCTTAATGCCAAACATTCCAATTTTAGTCAGAAAGCACTTCTAGATATATATGTGTATGTCTAAAACAGAAAATTCTATTTTTAAGCAAACATTAAAAAATGCTGAAATAAACAATATAACCACACAAGAATAACCACCCGGTTTTGAATAAAAATATGCTAAATATTTTATGCAAAGAAAAATTTGTTTTAATTTTTCAAATTTTCATTTTTTAAAATTAGGCTCAATGTTCTTCCACTTAACCATAAGGAAGAAGAAAATAACCCAAGGAAAGTCTATGTGGGCTAAACAATCAATTCAAAGGAGTAAAAGGGCAACTTGAGATGCACCCTCCTCTGTGCCTTTACATCCATTCACCAGACCTGGCTGAGGGCTCTTCCGTTTTGCCAAGACCAGGGATGGCTCTGAATGTGTAACTACTTGATTGTGTATGTCAGTCATTTAACACTGTAGTGTTTTTCCCTTTAGCATCGCTAGATATTACTTTTGGCACGACTTTTGTTTTACATCTGCTCTACTGGATATTGCTGAGAGCCACTTTTATACCTCAGTGACTACGACAAGCCAGGGATCCTGTGCTGCTTCCTCCATTACATAACAGGGCCTGTCGTTCTGCAAGGCCAACTGGGTCAGAGGCTTCAGAATGCACCAGGAGTCAGCAGGTATATAAATGTGAAGTGTCTAGTTTAAAAAAAAAGTTCCATTCATCAAGACTGTCTCTTTTTCCATTCAGACAAAAAAGACAGCCAGGGACTTTTCTAACTCTTCACACTCTTGCAGAAGCAACAAGGTGGCTAAAGATGTGCTTTCTATACTCTCAAAATAGATTTTTTTTCCCCAAGAGAGTGATCAATCAAAACAGCCTAGAAAAAGAAAAATGTCCTCAAGATCTGACCTAGATTTCACTTCCGGGTGATTTTATTTTTTAAGAATTTTGTTAAAACACAGAAACACACACATACTGCAGGTTGGTGCCAAAATAAGAGTGTTATAACACACAAGTCATATTATTCAACAAACTAAAGTCTGAATAGATGAACAAATTTAAACGAGCACTATATAACGCTTTCTTTTTCAAAATAGGAAAAAACTGGAACTAAACAATTAACTATTCATCAACTCTCGGGGATAAGGACTTTTCAGGTCCCAAAACAGATTTATAAAAAAATAATACAAAGGAAGGACTGGGGACACTATTCAGTGCTAGAGCACTTGCCTTGCATGCACGAGGCCCTGGGATCAATCCCCAGTGCCACAATAAAAAAATTACAAAGGAAAAAAACTGTCCTATGTGGCCTAACACAAATTTTAAATGGTTGCATGTTTAAGGTAAAATAATTAGAACATAAAAGTCAATAAGAAAATTCAGCATATAAGGTAAGAGGTTAATATTTTTATTTTATAATGAACACATAAATATTTAAGAACAGTAATAACCTAATAAAGAAAGAGAAAAAGGGCACTTAACAAATATTGCAAATAAGAAAATGAGTCCTATAAACTGGTGGTTCCTAATTCTGATTCCCCGTTTATTATAGCTTGTAGCTGGATATCCCCCCAAAGCCTCATGCTCCCATAAGTGGGGTTTTCAGAGCTAGCAGGATCTAGGGTGTATGAAGATGGATTAAGGGAGTGTGATAACTGGATTAGTGTACTGATTAGTTTATCATGGCTCTGGGTGTAGATGATGGGAAGGCTCACCCTGGGTGTGCGTGGCACCATCCAATGGATGGAATAAAAGGAAAAGCAGAAGGAAGCCTACTGCTTTCTGCCTGCCTTGCCATGCACTGTTTCTCCACTGTCAGGCCCCTCTGTTATGCTGCCCTGCTTTAGAGTCAGCTCACCACGGACTGAACCTCTACAGACTGTCAGCCAAAATAAACTTTTCCTCCTTTAAATTCTGTCACAGCAATAAGACACCATTAGAATCATTGAGAAAGTTTTTAGTTTTGTTTTTTTTTAATGACCACATCTAGGTCCAACCTGAAAGATTTAATTGGTTTGAGGGATATATTTGGCCATTACTATTTTTTAGGCTCCCCCAAATGATTCTAATACTCATAGCTAAGAACAATATTGGTTTTGAAAACTACAGACTTGAAAAATAAAATATTTGTCCTAAAGAAATAGACTAAACTACATTAATTACAATAAATAATGCTACTGAAATCACTTAATGCACTTCTAATCGTAAATATTAGCACGTTTATTTATTTTTTGTTGTTCTTTTATTGGTACATTTTAGGTATACAATTCGTTTACATTTATCATTGGGTGTTTCTACCTGTACATGATTTATCTTGGTTCTTATTTTTTTCCCCATTACCTGTGCACCCTTCACACACTCCGCCTTTCCCTATTTACATAGATTTCATTTCCATTTTTTTTTCTTTTCTCATAGTTTTTCCTTTCCCTCTTTTCCTTTCCCCTTCCCCTCCCTTCACTCCTTCATCTTTGGACCTTTTTTCCTATTTCAAATTATCAATTATTCATTTTAAT